TAGAACAAATATAGGTCCCTATCATCTAAATGGTTTTGTCAAAAAACAAACCCGCAGACATCTTTACACGACATCAGCAACCCGCGCAGTTTTTAATTACAGTCCACCATGTCCCAATACCCTGCCAAAATCAGTACACACCCATCCCGAACCGAATCCTAACCAAAAACCACCTTTTTATCTTCGCCGTGTTATCGCACATGTCCGAACGAATCCAGCTCATGTTAATATTTGAGCTATTTTTATTTGAAATTTCCATTTACACGGAGCGAGTGAACCGATGGGCCCCCGCGAGGCCCTTTCCCCCCTCCCCCCCTTTCCCGGGTGCCCTCCCTAATACATATTCATAGGATGCACCCTCCTACACTTTCCCTGCACAGTTTGGACGGTATGAGTGATCTGTGATCTGAATCCTCGTCCGTATTTTCGTTTTGGGTATCCGGATATTTTAAGTTCGCTTTGAAGTTTCGGAGTTTTATTTGTGGACTGTCTGCGATTGGTGATCGTAAATGATAGCATATAGATAGAGTCACGCAAAGTTCAATATAGGGCTGAATCTTATCTGTTTATGATTCAAACATAGGGTTTACCTAGGTACTACCTACTTGTGTGAAATACCTATGACAACTTATGCGGAAAATCTTTGATCAATTTAAAATTCCGCGACTGAGCTTCAGGTGGGCTCTGTAATAAAAAATATAAAACTGAAAAGCTACTTCACAAACATAAACTCATACTATATCCCTTGTGGAGTAGGCAGAGCGTAAACGCCTGTCTTCTTTTTCTTTTTCGTGTGGGACACCGAGTCGTTCAACGACCCGATGAACCGGATGAACGCCTGTAAAAAACGGCCATTTTTATACCAAGTTTGACAAAAGTTTGAGAGTCATTGACTGTTTATCACTATAGCGACAGGTCGTCAGCCTGTCGCCTGAAATTGCAATAAAAGTCGCTTCTTACGACACCCACGGGAAAGATACGGGTACACCTAAAAATACGATAATTCAAAATTACGATTAGTCCTGCATAAAAGGCCTCCTTTAGTATGTTAATGTATGCATTTTATCACTCTTGTAAATGAAATACATAATACTTATTAGGCATTCTAGTACTTATTACAAGCTCTAAATATCTGTCGTTGATCTCCCATTAATACCCTTTTAGCATTAATTTGTTAGTGAAACCATTAACAAAACGTACCAGCCACCTAATTAACATCGATGTAAATATTGTAATAACCTGCTAATATATTCAAAGTTGAGCGATAACTAGCGATAAAATTATTTCTTCTGGTAACAAGTTTCGTTACAGTAGGTAATTATTATCGCATTTGACAACTGTATTCGAAAATGTAATTTATTCATCACAATTTAAGGGGCTACTCACACGAGGCGGTCGCCATAACGCACGGCACCGGTCGGCTCGCATTAGATGATCTTGACCGCTAAGTCCGTTTGTAGGTATCTGGCTTGTTGCTGTGTGGTTCCGGCTTAGAATAGCATCACCCCGTCTCTTTCGTGTATGTGTCGTTTAACTAAGCAACTAAGAGGTTTGAGTGTTGATGTCTATTGCAACTTCAGGAGCCAGGCTGATAACCTATCATCACTATGGCGGTACACAGTCTTCTGAATGACTCAAATTTTAGCCAGACGTGGTGTAAATGGCTGGTTTTTACAACCGCCGTTCACGCTCTGCCTACCCCGCAAGGAATATCAGTAGGATGGTTTTGGTAGTTTCGTATTCCGCAAACAGTTTTTAGTGGCAAAAGAATGAAAGTTGAGTGCCGCTGGCATTACGAAGGCAAAAAATAGCTGACTTGGGCCCAGGTTTATATTATAAACGTTTCTATCTTTAAAAAATCGTCTCGTGAGCACAGGCGCTTATTTTTCCTTTTGCATAATTTCGTGGCCGTAACCTGCGAAAAAGCTTTATTTCGACAATTACCACCAGTAAAGAATTCGGTCTGGAATGTTGGTGCTCTGGAAAACTTCATAAATGCGATCGTGAACATTTCGGAATTTACCATGAGGTACATTTATGAACGCTACACACACCCACTCACCTATTTTACTACAACTTCATGTAATGTTACATTGTAGATATGTAATTTATGGACAATGTAAGGTGGTCCATTTTTTCTGTTCTTTTTACTAATGATTTTGACACGTAAGCACAAATTAGGGAAACGGTACGCGGGGCGCCTATACAGATGGCACGCTCAGTACTAGCGACGATTTTGACCCTAGAAATAACGGGAATCAAGTCAAGGGGACTAAGAAGGTGGTCGGACATATTTCTTGGATTAAAAATTGAATCAGAATCATATGACGACAAATTTTCTGTTTTATTATTCTGATACTGTGATTGACAGTAGCAACCTATCTATGTAAGAACTTAACTATGTAACAAGTGCCAATCGCGAAAATCTGAAATAGAGCCGAGTGAATCTTCTGTAAACTCTCTATTTTGTGACGTAAGCACAAATTAGAGAAGCAATGCCACAGAATACATAATAGTACTAGACAATGCGCGCCTCCACGCAGACAGTTACGTCGTGTCAAATACGAATGTCAAGAGCTATTAACACCCCGAAAGTTTTCGCGTGCATATCCACAGGCGGCCTAACACCAAAAACGAAGATGAACGGACCAACTCATGAAAGGCCCACAGAGTGTTGGAAAAAAATGAAGACAAAGAAGTCTCCAAGAGCTCTCCAGAATGTATCTGGCAGGCGACATGCGCGCTCTTCGCATTCGCTTTGGTCGTAAAACGCACGCGCAAAAAAACACGCGCCAGAACTGATGCGTTTGATGCGCTTGTCCATGGCAGTGATACTGGTATTACGAATAACAAAACAACACCAACACCCACAGTCCACAGTTGGACATGGGTCCTATTTTGGGATATTACCATACACACCACGCTTGGCCGGCGAATTGACGAGCACATAGTGATTTTTCTTCTTCTGAATATATAACACACCTTGCACCAAAGGTGTGTTATATTATATTTAACAGAGAACGCTGGTTGGAAAATAAGTAGGTACTAGGTACGTATCGAGCTTCAAAATTCTGTTTTTTATGTAATATTTATTTCATTAGATTTCCCATTTGTCATATTTCTTTGAATTAGTCGCGTATGCGGTATACCCGAATGTTTAAAAATATTATTATGACATTAAAGTGACACATCCTAGTTGTCATATTTTATTCATTTTCTTTCCAAATTAAATAACTGAAGTTGAACTCGAAACGTGTTTTTTAATTATTACAATAATGGAGTTTGATCATCCAAAGATTTATTGATCGGACGGTCTTTCTACATGGAGATTATACTTACAATAACAAGATTTCCATTTGAGAGAATATATCACTGGAGTGAAATATTAATTTAAATATCTCATCATGGCTCTTAATTTAGATGTCGAATAACCTTTTCGCATTGACAAATAACACCCTAGTACCTAATCCCCAGGCCATAATTCCTGCGAGTAGTTTGACAGTTGGTGACACTTGGGTGATACCATGTTACGACCAGTGCTGTATGTATCGATAAAATAAATAGTTTCATGTTTGGAATCTAGGCTTTTTCTCCCAGTAAAGTGCGCTGCTCAAAATAGATGGTATTGCGTACTTTTGGCGATGTACCTCCCAGTTTTCAAAAATTATGTGTATTTTGCATATGAAAAGGATTGTACGAAGTTCTCTACAATCGGGATTTCAAATAAAACTAAATTTTTCTTGCCATCGAAATCAAATGGAACCTTCTTATATGATGGCATTTGTATCTATGAAACCTTCATGAACTATGGCATAAGTATCAATGTTAAAAAGTAAACTGTCATTCACATCCGTCATAAAACCAAAACAAACTGCAAAAAACATAAACATTGTATTTTGTTCTATCTAAATGGGTATATATTTGATTCCCTAGAATATTTCACACTTATCTTTGCATTGAATTATATTTAGGACCTCAATTGTATTCAAAAAGAACTTCATTCACACATGTTGTATACTGTATTGTACTGATTTAGACGCAAAAAACACATACACCATTTTCTTCGATAAGAAACACAAAAAATCACATATAACCAACTGTTGTAGTTATCTTAAACATTGTTCACGAATTCACGATCCTTTGTTCTGGTAAAATATGTAACAACCAATAAAAATCGAAAAATATCGGTAAAATAATTTACAAAGCGTAAAGTAAACAAATCAAATTGTCAAACATAATACTTGACAGACATATTTTTTTGCATCTAAAGAGTTTTTTCCTGAGGTTGCATCTATAGGTAGAGTAGGTAGAGGTTGGTAGAAAAAGTATTTGAAAAGTGTGAATTTAAAGGCTCCCGTAGACAGGTCACAGGACGTATCACGTTGCGTTTATGTCTACGCAAGTCCAAGTTCTGTAGCGGCCCAGTAGCAGTAAAACCCAGAATCTCAGGCTATGGAAAACGGTCCCAGTTAATTTTCACTTGATAATTTACGAAATGAAAAAAGTTTAAAGGACATTGCCCAAAGTGGACCAAATAGCGACCAGCATTGAGACATAGTGCATAAGGTTCCTAAGGCTAATACTACTCTAAAACCCAAACCAAGCCCAAACCACATCAAAATCCGTCGCTGGAGTCTTGAGAAAAATGACATTATATTTCAGTCTATTGGGATTGTAATGCACTCACAGTGCTATATTATTCTCACAAGTGAAAATAAGAAATAGAAAAGATGACGTACATCGACCGGGGATCGAACCCGGGCCGCATGGGTAAACGCCCCACCGCTCTGCCACTGAGCTATCGATGCACGTGGCACGGTCGATGTACGTCATCTTTTCTATTTCTTATTTTCACTTGTGAGAATAATATAGCACTGTGAGTGCATTACAATCCCAATAGATTGATTAAGCAAGCTTCATCATATGGTTTGAATTCCACTCATGGATCGTCGCTTGGAGACGAGCATCAAGAGATAGAAAATTTGGCGTCCATCGGCCGTGCATCGATAGCTCAGTGGCAGAGCGGTGGGGCGTTTACCCATGCGGCGCGGGTTCGATCCCCGGTCGATGTACGTCATCTTTTCTATTTCTTATTTTCACTTGTGAGATTATATTTCAGGTTTCCCATCAACGAAAAATCATAGCCAACAGCTTATTTCTAGAATAAAATACGGTAAATATTGAATCAATCAACCACTTTAATCAGTCTATTACTTCCTGAACAGCTATTACCGCCGGTGTTACTCAGGATGTCGTTTTATCCCCTTTTCTTTTGTACGGGCGTATGTATTTGAGTAGAGGACAATGCAGCAGACAAAAAAATATGCAACAACTGTACCTCTATTTACATAAATCCCCATAGTATTTTTATACACTTCCAGTGACAGATTTAATCAGAAAAATACGCGTTTGAAGTTTATAAAAATACTATGGGGATTTATTTTTTCTAGGTGTTACACGGATGGTACTTATATATTTGAGTAGTAATAATAAAAAAAAATCCCATAGTAACTTCAAACGCGTACCTATATCTCTGTTCCAGTGACAGATAGTGGTACAGTTGTCATATATTTTATTGTCTGTTGCGTTTTCCTCTACTCAAATATATACGTACCATCCGTGTAACACCTAGAAAAAAGAAATCCCAAAGTAACTTCAAACGCATAATATCTCTGTTCCAGTAACAGGTAGAGGTATAGTTCATGAATATTTTTTTGTCTGTTTCATTGTCCTCTACTCAAATATATAAGTAGTATCCGTGTAACACCTAGAAAAAAGTCCCCATGGTAACTTCAAACGCGTATATCCCTGTTCCAGTGACAAGTAGAGGTATAGCTGTCGTATATTCTATTTGACTTTTACATTGTCTTCTACTCAAATACATAAGTAACATCCGTGTAACACCTAGAAAATAAAGCCCCCCCCCCCCATAGTAACTTCAAACGCGTATATCTCTGTTCCAGTGACAGATAGAGGTATAGTTGTCGTATATATTTTTGTCCGTTGCATTGTCCTCTACTCAAATATACAATTACCATACGTGTAACACCTAGAAAAAAAAGACGCCACTAGTCCATACTAATCCGGCATTGGCCTTTGTGGAGGTGGACCTGTTAGTGATGATGATGACGACAATGATAGATAACAATTCTTTTACCGATGACTCGGAATAATTATCCGTGATATTTTTTTTCGTTTGGGCCACGGAGTCAGCGTCATTATCATCACTGATATTTTTGATCGCATAAACCCTATTGTTAGAGTTTTCCAAGTAGCAGGCCTCTGACATGGTTGGGTGACGACCACCGTCTAATTAATCATAAACAGCAAACGGGACCGACGGCTTAACGTGCCTTCCGAAGCGCAGAACCATCTTGGTTTGGACAATCAGGTGATTCAGCCTGCAATGTCCCAACCAGACTGGAAACAAATTAACAAAGTGATAAATATTACCATTGAAGTATTTATATTAAGGTGAACTACTGGGATCAAACCCGGAACCTTCTGCATGGCAAGCAGTCGCACTACCACTGCCGCACATCGGCTGGTTAATAAAAATGATATTGGGACCTTACTGACCCACCTAGCGAACATTGATGAAACATACGTAAATTATTAGATTTAGGTATTATTATATTCTAGGTATTTCCTAAATATGTCGTTTTTTTCTAAAATTCCATGGGAAAGTCGAAATAATTATATTTTTCTATTTTAAGATTTTCATGGTATATAACGCTACTTTCAATAAAATTCTCTTTGTACTATACTTTTTAAATAAAAATACAGCTATGACACTATATGGATGTGGACAGGTGATGTCCACGTCAGACTGTGCTCGACAGCACCACCCAGAGCAGCCTATCTGGGTCCCAGAGCCTCCGGTTTATCCCTGGCATCCATGACCCCGCCGTATGGCTCGAGTCGCTGGAGGCTCTTTTCGACGATAAAAGTCGCGTCCGCCCTCGTGATCAGGACCTTTCTGTCCTCTTCTAGGACGGCTGCTCGTGCGCTCTCTTGTCTTGGGGCCGGTTGGTGCTTCGGCTTCTCCCCCTGAGGTGTGCCCTGAGGGGAGCCGACCGCAACCAACGGACCCGTGGGTGACTCTTGACGTGGCTGGCCCGGTGCTTTCCCGTCCTGGGAGCGGCGGGGGTGTTGCTCGCCTCCTACGCCTCCTCGGCTTCCGCTTCTTTGTCGTCGAAGTTTCGGAGGGGCCGTTTGGCAGCCACCATAAGGGATCCAGCTGCGTTGGTTTCCCCCTGCGGTGTCGCCTCCGTCTTCGTAAGAGGTGCTGTGCCCCCCTCTCTTGTTTCGAACTTCACGGCGCGGTACGGGGCAATCGAGGCTGTTAGCCGGTTGCGATCCGCCACAGTTGGTACATGCGGCCGGTTTTTCTCGGGGTCTTCTGCAATCCAGGGCGGGATGTTCGCCGCCCCAGATCACGCATGGCAGCTTACGTTAACAGTGCCTGCTGCTATGCCGGAATAGCTAGCATCGATGGCATTGTGGAGTGCCCTGTTTTTCCACGCCATCCCTCGATCTTCACGCCGAGCATTCACATTAGCTCTGTGACGTTGTAGATGCCCGGCCGGGGTGAGGTTTAGCGTGCGAATAAGCTGGGCTAAGTTGATACACACTGGGCGTTCTCCGCGAGCCTTGATGGGGCGCATGTAGGCCACCTCGTAGCCCAGGGTGGTCAGCTCCTTCTTGATTTCCTGCGGGTCCGTGTCCACATGGGAGGCTTCTGATCGCGACCTTGGCTGGCTGCTCTTTTGGGGGTGCGTAGACGGACCAGGACATTTCGGTACCGGAGCGCTCCAGCGCGGTTAGGTAGCGCTTGTATACGCGGAATTCCTGTTCGCCTTGCGCCAGGAATCGGAACTCTGTGGGCCCATAGGGCCTCATAGGGCCGCACGTTTGGCGCATGAAACAGCTCCTTTTTTACCTCGGCGAAGTGGTGGCTCCAGTTCGGGAGCAGGTCGACTACTATTAAGCGGCGGCTTCTTTATGCACCCAGTTATCTTCATGGATGTCTTTGGTGCAGGTGGCGGCGTCTTGATGGCGTCTTTCCTGGGCTTGCTGGGCGCACATTTCGGCGTCGTTAGGGTGGTCGCATAGGATATTTGTGATGTCATCGCTGGGCTGTCTCCAGTACCCGAGCTGTTCAGCATGGAACTGGACAGCGGCGGTGTGACCCTCGTATCCGGAACCGTGCGGGTCCTCGGTGGGGTCGGTGAGGTTGATCCATGCGGTCTGCGCTCGCACCTGTACGGCTGTGGCACTCTCCCTGAGAGCGTTCAGGTGCGCTGTAGGGCAAGCAGGTCGAAGTGCTTTTTGTCCCTCGGCTTACGCTGGGACAGCGGAGACGGCGAGGGAGAAGCAGGCAGCGGCGGTAGTGGGGGCGGGGCGGCAGAGGCAGTGGTTATCGCTGCTGCGGCGGCCGTCGGTGGCGAAGATACCAGCGGGGGTCTATTGATCCCAGCGTGAATGGCGTCGAGGGATGGCTCAAGCCGCGAGTTCGTTCATAACGCGCTTCAAGGCGGCTTGCGGATTCGTGTGGACAAACATTCGCGACCCATTTGCGGGGCGCTGGTGGCACTTGAAGGGCATTTTCGAAGCTGAATATAATAAAATAAGAAGCCTAATAATAAGCGTGAAGCGTAGCCTGCCCTCGGGGCGAAAGACTCTGGAGTACCCCAGGTGAGACTCGCTGGCCGGGGTTACTTGTGCTCGACAGAGCCCTACATGACTACCGAAGGTAGGCGGGAACCGTAAACAAAAACTTCCGAACGCGAGAGCGACTAGGCGGCTAATCTGGAGTATAGTGTTAAGATATATATATTATTAAATATCTTAATATTCCCATCCCTCACAATAATGCGCCTTTGCCTGCTATAACTAGGCGGCTTAGGCTTTAAAATGAGACATAATTCATTAATGTTTGCAGTAGTGGGTATTTTGTCCATACTAAAGGTCCCAATGTCCTTTATGACGAATTTTTACACAAAATATATTTGTTAATATATTTTGCTTTTGTTATTATTCTTTGGACAATTTCCCCCAAGGAACATAAGTCGAAAAACGAAAAAATATTTTGACCTCCCATAGTTTAACTCAAATCAGCTGATTGGCAATTTTGTATAGGAGGTCCAAATTTTTTTTATATATTTCGACCTATGTTCCTTGGGGAAAGTTGTTCCTTATCACACGCCGGTTCTGAGTTTTCGCTATCGTAAAATTTCACTCCATATAATGACGCCGCAATGTACGTATAACGTATATCGATGTTTAGTCTTTTGTTTGGGAAATCATCCGCAAGAGACCTGGCTTGGCCTAACCTAACCTAACCTAACAACAAAATAAATTGAGCACTACACTCACATCGATAGTAAAATATCGACATTTACCCCAACACTGATTTTTTTCTCTTTGAGGTGGCATCACTCCAAATGTCAAACTTGTGTCAAACTACTCGCAGGAATTTTGGATTTGAGTATAGTTAGCGGCTTTTCTAAAACACCCTCAATGTGACACGGTTGCATCTATGCAAAACATGATAAAATGTAACTTGAAAACATACTAGCAAAGTTGAAATGGGAGTGAGGGTGTTAAAAAAGCCTGTTGCGAAAAGGGAGTACGGTAAACCACAAGTTGTTTTCAATAAAAAAGAAACCGATTACGCACAAGCGCATAATCTTAAAAACTATGGAACAGATTAAAGTGTAATTTATGCAACAAAGGCAATATTTTTACAAATAATAATGAAATAATAAAAAAGCTTAGAAATTTGTCAACAGCAGCACATTAACCTCCTCATTTAGGTAAGAGATCAAATTATACCTACTACCTCTAGATTTCATACGGTTCCTAAAAATAACAATATTATCTTTAAGTCAAGCCCTGAAATGAGCAAGTGCACAATAGTTTTTGAAACGAGGGTGGACAAAAATGTATACATTTTTTTTACATATTTTTGTCTTGTACAGCCTTTACAAACCGAAATAAAAGTATCTTCAGTTCTGAGAATTTTACATACTCCCGTTTACCCTCCCTTTTGCAGTCGGTTATAAAACCC